ATGTGTAGCACTAACGCATAACGTATTGTCCTAATTTTATCATGTTTTCCAAGCTTTGTTCTTGAATTATGTTGCCATCTAAAAAAATTGACTATAGTTGTTTCACATTATTTATCAAAATAATATAGAGAATTCATAATCATATCATTGAGTCGTTCTACGTACTCTGAATGCAAGCTTATCTATATTCTATATTATTATAAAAGTATGAATAAAATGTTGGATTACAAAAATAACCTTTTAATATTAAACATAATAACTCACAATAAAATGACATAATCGAAATTTTAGACATTAGCCTTGTAATCCTATTAGTTTTATGATATAATACTACACGTTAGTAATCCTACATGATTATCTTTAGGAATCCTGTTAGTATAATTATTTCCGGGCATAGATATTAGCCTTGTAATCCTATTACTTTTAGGATATACTTCTTAAAAAATTCTTATTACTAATTTACTTTGAAAACATGTTATATTGTCCAAATCCATTCAGAAAAAGGAAAGCATATATTATTATAAAAGTACGAATATAATATTGATAGATCAAAATACCCATAAAATATTAAACAGAAGAACTCATAGGGAAAAGACATAGCTGTAATAACTTTTTTTTTGGACTACAATAACTTCTATGTTAATTTTTTTAATATTTAATATTTTAAAATTAATACAATCTTGTCTATTGAATTCTTATTAAAAATATGTAGGAAGGTTTAATAAAATTAATTTCATAAGAATCCTCCATATTGGTAATACATTACCACTTTATAATATTCAATACCAAAAAAAAGTAATGCCAAACGGACTACATAAAGCGTTGAAATTGAGAAAAAAAACCTTACGATAATATATTATTATATTATATTTGAGCTGCTTTCCTACTCAAATAATTTTTTTTTATTAATTTTTCGTGTAATATAGAAAAATATATCAAGTTATTAAAGAATAACTAAGAAAATTTTTAAGAATATAAATGTGTGAGAAAAGAAAGAAAAATATTGGTAAGAGCCAACACACTAATGATTTTACAAATATAAAGATCTAAAAGTGGAATGTCATCGATCTTTTTACTCTTCGAAAATAAAATTTATGGTGGATAAAATTATAATAATGGTTAAATATTCAAACATGAGATGAACTAATATTAAGAATCTAAATCAATAGAGAATAAATTATATTTTATGTTAAAACCAAATAATTAAATCTTTCAATTAATTATTTAGCAAGAGAATTCAATTAAATTATTTTTTAAATTCATCATATGAGTAAAATTATTTTTCAAATTAAAAAAAAATAATATTAAGAAGGACATACAAGTGTTTGAGGAAGCACAATCAAAGCTAAATCCTAAACAAGAATAAGCTTTCAAGACTATATTATAAAAAATCAATCCTGGTATAGCGGGATTATCCTTTGTAGATGCCTCCGGCGTAATCGAAATAATATTCATATGTCATGCATTACTTGCAAATGTCATATCAAGAGGCATGGTATTGTTAGCAATAAGAACAAGTGGTGTACCAACAATGATTTTATTATGAGGTCGTACAACTCACTTTAGATTTCACAAATATATCAAATCAGATCAATAGTACTAAATTTATAAGGAAAACAAAAGTGATAATATGGGATAAAGTGCTTTTGGCTAAGCGTCATACGATCGAAATAATCGCCCACAGTTTTAGAGATATATTGGATATCGATAAACCGTTTGGTAGAAAAGTAATAGTTTGGGAGGTGATTTCTGTCAAGTACGATCAGTAGTTCCAAAAATGACCAAAACAGAAATTGTAAAAGTTAGCTTGCCAAAATTATACTTATGGCCTCAAATGAAAATATTCAAATGACAAGAAATGTAAAAGTAAGAAAATATCCAACATTCAGTGACTTCTTGCTTCTTGTCGAAAACGAAGAAGAGTATCCAATAAAAGATGATTTGGTTCTTCTAGAACACTTGGTTATCAACCCCAATGGTAATAATAGTGCATTTAATAAGGAAAATATTTCCATCATTAGATTAAAATACAATTTGTGTAAATTACATGATAGAAATTAAAGAGCTATCTTAGCTAGCAGAAATGAATATGTTGATCAACTAAATAAAAGGTTTATTGCTAAGTTTTATGGTAAAAATAAAATATTTTTCAGTTTTGACTCAACACAAGATGATACTAACAATAACTACCAAGAAAAATACTTAAATACTTTAATACCAATTGGCCTTCTACCGTACATGTTTGTTGTCAAGTTCATTATTTCTTACGTATGTTAGTGTCACTATATATATAATAGACTAAGTTAAAATTAATCTTCCATTGCATATAGGTTTATGCTCATCATGCTACTCAAAACTTAGATCCGCTATATAGCTTATGCAATAGTACACATATGGTATATAGAAGTTTTGATAATAACGTCATACATGCAAAACTTATGATACTGGTCAATATGCTTCTAAGTATGTATTTATCCCCGAATTCAACTTTCGTCTTCCGAAACTAAAGAATATCCTTTTAAATTTGTGTGAAAATAATTTTCAGTATGTTTATATTTTGTAGTTATAATAAATAAAGAACAAAGACAAACATCCTAAATATTGAACTATATTTATCACAATAATAACCAAAACATTAGAAGGAAACATATACAAAAAAAAATAATGTTTATAAAAAAGTGTTCGGTAAGATACCATCACATTAGATACTTTTAAACTACAATACTTAATTATCTACTAAAATTGATCATTTATTTAATTAAATTTTATTGTTTCTTTATATAAATAAATATTTAAATCATCATGTGTCATTTATTAACGTGTAACACACGTTTATAGATAATAGTAATCTTGAAACATACCTTACAATGAAGACATAGAGTCGCACTTCTTATTACAAGCTCTAATTGAATTGAGAATATTACAAACTCTCCCTAATATTGAAGTACTTCTCTCCCAAAATCGACAACATTAGTAATAACAATAACATTATTTAGCGAAGAAAAAAATGTTTATTAAAGAATATGGTTAGCTACAATTTGCCTTCTACTTCTTTGTTATCTAAACTATATTTGAGCAAAATCATGTGAAAATGGTGATCACCAAAAAGCGTTATTCAATCTTCAATNTACCCCAGCCAATTCCAAACCCCTGACCAGATCCACCATTCACACCTCCTCCTCCACCACCGCCGCCACCTCCACCACCACCTCCTCCATTGCTATCTGATCCCTTACCCCAACCACCTCCCATCCCCCCACCAAATCCACCATTCTCACCTCCTCCACCGCCACCGCCACCGCCGCCAGCAATATTTCCGATAATTTGGTCAATTCCGTCAAACCCGGGGATGCTTCCAGATGGAAATTGTAGAAGCTTCCTTGCAAATGTTGTTTGCAAAAAAACACACACAACAAACAACGGAACCAATCTGCTATACATCTTTGCACTTGCTGTTAACACTACATCAAAAAGTAGCACAGCTTAATTATTAAAAACATTTAACTGTCTAAACACTATTATTACCGCAAAAAATAGAAAGACAAATGTAATTATGTTTCATATTTAGCACTAATATAATCAATATTAACAACAAATTAAGATGAGAATGGTTTCTTACTTTGGCTCTTCTCGTATGTGTTTTGCACTGAAATTACCTCAGAGAAGAGCTAAGCAATTGGATGAATAATTTTGAGATGTTTAGGACGAGTTTAAATACTATAGAGTAGTGGTAAAGTAACAGTACATGGTTGGGGATTGTTAATGAATGTAATTAATATCTCACATTTACAAAAATGGAAACGCGAGAAGCATAGAATTGAATGTAATTAACAGCTTGTTTGGATGGCTGTCACGTATCGTTTCATAATGTATCGTATCGTACTGTATTGTATTGTATTGTATCGTTTGATAAATACAATGTTTGAATAAATTGTGTCATTTACTATTGTTTCATGATATCACGCACCAGCAATATGAAGAATAAACTTGCAATATTATAAAGAACAATTATGATACAAGGTAAAATTATTATATAAAAAGGTAGGGTAAATGATAAAATAAAATTATTTAATAATAATGAAGGGTGAGATTTAGAGAAAAAGACAAGGTAACGACGCGACCACACCAAATCGATCGTTACATAAAATGATACATTTCGTCGTTATGTAACGACGGATTTAACGATACGATATAATAAAATTTAAGTAACAATCAAAATAAATATCGTATTTAAAGTAACAATACGATACAATACAATGGGTAACAACCATCCAAACAAGCTGTAAGAAGACTTACGTTATGGTAATTAATTGTGAGAGGAAAAACTTACATGTTCTATTAGACATTATGTTTGGTTTATGGTCTAGTTATGTGAAGATTATAATGCAAATTAATATTTATATTTATATGGTGAATAAATAGTACAAGGATTACTATGCGATAAATAAGAATATGTGATTTTTTATGTACATATAGCTACGTTATTAAAGAAGTAGTGCTAATTTCTCCTTTTTAGAATGGCTCCAATGGCTAAGCTGTCGTCCTGAATTTTTTTTTCCGTATGCCGGGGAAAGTACACCCTCACCGCAGCTGCCTGCTTAAGACTAAAAGCTAGTAGTGAACTCAAGCTTAGAATCTGTTGAGCATCTTTTGCTCTGGTGTTTTTGCTCAATTGGTTTGGGACCGAATCCAGGCGTTCCAATTCTGATATTCCTTTCCATCCGTTGATCGATTAATGTTTTACCTAACTAGCCTTAAAGGTAACTTAAAATCCTCAAGCTATTCTAGATACGTTTTCTCGGAATTTTTGCTTTCATCTTTTCTTATGATAGTCTTATTCATGTTAGTTATATGGTGATTGTATTAATTACAGAAGATCTTATACACATTATATAACTGTACGGAATTTTATACGCAGCTCTCATGATGCAAATATTATCACTCTCCATCTAAATAAGCAAATGTCTATTACTACATCATTCAATCTTGCACCAAAGTAATCGAGTGGCAAATTTTTCAATAAGAATAGTGCACGTTGAGATTTACATAACTGTATCTCTTTGCTTCATTTTAGTATATTCATCAGAAATAATTTAGGACAAAAGCAGATTACAAAACTATGTATAGTAAATGCTTGGACAGAGGAGGAAGTTCTCCAAAGAAGAACCAACAAGAAAAAAAGGCGAAAAGAACGAAAAGGAAGAGTGGGAAATATACGGAGACAAGTGGTTTTCCTATCCCCTGTCCTCTTAAAACAGAAATTATACATACACAAGTACATATCAGTATATCAAGGTTCCAGCTTCAGCGAAACCACTCTAGACTGCCTATTACGCTTGGCAGCCTTCGTGAAGATTATAGAGAGACATGATGGGGCCCACCAAGGTCGACGGACTCTTTGCTCTCCTTTCAAGCAAGCCACTGCACGAACGAATTGAATCAATAAAGACGTACGAAACGTAATAGCAACTGTAGGTTGAAATAAAACAGCATTGGTCATCCTTTAAAGCAGCGGAAGATTCACTCATGTTTATCAATGCTTGGTATTAACAACACTCTTGATATAGTGATCAAAACCGGATCACAAAGCTGAGTCCGCAACATCTTCAATGTCTATGTATTAAGTAAATCATGCTTGTCAACCTTATGATTATGCAAGAGAATTGCTATATCGAACTATTCAAAGGCATTGACGACCATACCACTATCATATCATATTCGCGGCCTATTATATCAAGAGGTCACCGTTTCGAACCCGATTGGGCCCTCAAGAGAAGGGGAGCCTTGGCGTAACCGGTAAAGTTGCTGCCGTGTGACCAGGAGGTCACGAGTTCGAGCCGTGGAAACAGCCTCTTGCAGAAATGTAGGGTAAGGCTGCGTACAATAGACCCTTGTGGTCTGACCATTCCCCGGACCCCGCGCATAGCGGGAGCTTAGAGCACCGGGCTGCCCTTTTTTCCCTTTTTTTCCCCTTCCCAACACGAGCTAAGAGATCTCTAACTTCACACTACGCGAAAAGATTCTTAACATAACAAAGAAACCAGCAAGTCTTTCATCAGTCAAAGCTGATTTAGCACAAACGATGTAACCACCTTAATTGCACTATTGGACAAACAGAAGAGACGGTGGAAAAGCACTGGACAAAATTTACATCAATAAACTGGGATTACAGATAAATTGAGGGAGAGAGAGATGGAAGGGGAGGGGAATAAATGCACCTTTTATCCTCCTGAGCTCCTTGCACAGTGTTATGAAGTCTCCCCATTTCATGTGACACCTTCTTATAAACCGTAGTATCTGTTCAGTCGTGAACATGGACATACCCTCCAAGTACTCTCCATTAACACCATTCTCTTTGAAAATCTGACGATAGCCACCGAGATTTATTTCTTCCAACCATAAGCCAACATCCTGCCAACAAAAGTAGCAGCATAAATCAGGCATTGCACAAGATACATTCTCTTTTCATGTTGTTTATTCGTTGAACAAGATACATTTCCTTTCTGTGTGGTTCATTGCCACCCCTCAACCATTGAAAAGAGCCGGGGGAAACAACTCCACTAATACCTAGGGGCGCAAGACAACTTTCCCAACTGTCTGCTTTGTTTTACTACTTATTTTTAGTTTTTATTTGGGGTCGGGTCGGGCAGGGGGGCAAGGAAGATATTTTTCAAATGGATAAGTGTGGACCATAGCCCCAGGAGAACAATTTTGAAGTAAATATCTGGATTCATTTCGATGAAGTAGTGAATAGCAAACTAAAATGTCATACATGGCAAGAGGACAACAGAAAGCTTGCAAATCCTGTAATAAGATGAACACACTCATTTCAACGTAATAGTTACATAAGCTCAAAGAATACTCGGTGTAGCATCTGTTATAAAACAACAACAACAACAACAACAACCCAGTATAATCCCACTAGTAGGGTCTGGGGAGGGTAGTGTGTACGCAGATCTTACCCCTACCCTGGGGTAGAGAGGCTGTTTCCAATAGACCCTCGCCATCCTTCCCTCCAAGAACTCCCCACCTTGCTCTTGGGGTGACTCGAACTCACAACCTCTTGGTTGGAAGTGGAGGGTGCTTAGCATCTGTTACAAAAGATTTGAAAAAACAAGAGAAGATGGTATCTCCTAAAATAGTCAGTCTTCAATCTTAAGTAGAAAGTCAGCCACTTCAAGGAATTGATGCTAGCCCTACACATGTGCATCCTCTTCAAAGAATGATGAATTACTATAGATGTTTTTAGATACTCGTTGATGCTTCCCCTTGATCAAATGAGTAATGATGAACTCCAACGAATCTATCCAGGTTTTTGTCATGCTTGAATTTGATCTTAAGACTTTCATGTCACTACATAAAAGGTAAATAAAGATATCTGCATTGACATTTACCTGCAAGGTATATGTGAGCGACTTTATACCTGGAGGTCAAAATAAGCCTGCAACCTTGGCAATCATGATATCCATTGCATAACCCTCCTTCACGAATGAGAAACTCCTATCCACCTCTTTAGACTTCCACATGCTTGAATTTAATCAAACGACTTCATGTCACTGCTTAAAACTGTTAAAGTCGAGGTAAATAACGATGTCTACCTCACCCTTTTATTTGCAAGGTAACAAGAGCAACTTACCTGTATTTCAACAAGCTTGCAGCTTTGGAAAAAATGATATACATTACACATCCCTTTGGATGAATGACGAACTTCTAACTACACCTCTTTAGGCTAAGCTTGAATCTGATTGTATGACCTCCATTCCACTACCTGAGAAGTAAGGACACCTAGAGTCTACCTCATCCGGTTTAATTTGTATATCCTATGCCGCTTCACACCAGGAAGTAGAAACACCTTCAGCTTTGGCAGTCATGACAACATTATACTCCCTCTATCCGATGTTAACTGGCCTTAAGTTAATTTATGATGGCAAACTTAGATTATTATTACTAGAGCTCTTAATTCATTTACTTTTTTTTCCATAGTCTTTAAGTGCTTAACTATTACCTGATTTTGGGCTGATACTTTCTGTTTCTTTGTGACCTTTGCATCTTCTTGATGCCTTTTGTTAATGATATTTCACTTACTTCATAAAAAAAAAGTGCCTAACTATTACTCATCCATCCCAGCTAATATGCCAGCCTTTCTATTGCCACCAGGACTTTGGCCTAGTAATAAGAGTGCAACAGGTGATGTGTCGGTTAGGTGCATATCATAGGTTCAAACCCTATCACAAACGAACCTGGTATTTAAGAGGAGATGGATAGAGGGGTGGCATTATTATCCTCTGAGTTTCGAACCATGTGCCACTGTCCCTCGGAGATTTTCCATTTATCGATAGGTGTGTTGGTTAATTTTGTCACAATTATAAGGTAAATGTTGAAATTTGTTAATAATCATGATGCAGAAGACATCAAAATCTACTAACAAGAAGATTCATTTTTGATGAGTCAGTCGTCAAATCTTTTGTTAAAAGTCTATCTCTAAATTAAAATTGGCATATGATACATGAGACCCTCAATATGGAAGCTTATATGGATAACCAAGCTCCCTATAAAAGTAATTGGTTTTATCTGGACAAGCATGTATGAAGCCTGCCTTACTCAAGACAACCTCAGTAGAAGAAGTATTGTTTTATGTGCCAGGAGGAATCTGAGAATGTGAGACATTTGTTTCTTCGGTGCACAGTAGCAGCTGACATATGGAACATGTTTTTATCAGTTTTTGGACTTGCCTGGGTCATGCCTTACAGTATCAAGGATGCTTATGAGAGCTGGTGCTCATGGAGAGTTGGGAATTCCATAAAAAAAACTTGGCAAATGGTGCCTGCTACTATTTTTTGGTGCATCTGGAAAGAGAGAAATCGCAGATGTTTTGATGGGATTTCAACTCCTAATCACTCTCTTAAAGCAACTTGTCTAATCAATCTATTTACTTGGTGCAACCAGGCCCCTGTAACTTGCTTTGAATCTTTTTTGGATTATGTATGCTCCTTAGTTATTCAGTAAGTTTTTTGTATATGAGCAGCCACACTTTTGTTGTATATTTTTGCTATGCATCTTCTTGATGTCATTTAATGAAATTATCTTACTTCATCCAAAAAAAAAACATGAAACCTCAAGGAGTTTCCTTTATAGTGGCTACATGGGGTTGTAAAAGGAAGAAAGGTCCCACAAGCTACAGTATATACTACTAGGATATACCTAACTCACCATATCTTTCCTCAAATTTCCCATAACTCACAGATTCTAAGAATCCAGACCCAAATTACATGGAACTTGCAAACCCAAGGTTTAGAATGGAGCTGCCAATCAGCCATGGTCGTACAAACAGCCTCACCAAAAGAGGCCTAGAGTGAGCAACCCATTTACTTCAAACAATAATGTGACCTTAAGTACTTTAAATGTCACACAAACACCGTCATGGATGATGTCCTTGCTAGTTTATATGGGAAAGAAGCTAGAAAAGGGTCATTACTATCCATGTGTTTGACTAACTGTTCCCTTCCCTTTACTGTGTTTTGGTATGCATTTCGCTTTGTTCCCCTTTGATATCGCTTCTCACTTATTTCTCAGCAAGCAGTCTAAGTTATTGTACCCTTTCTTAATGTTCTTGTTCCTTCCAAACTGATCATAGAAAAGAAAACATTCTTATGATTCATCAAATTCGATGTAATTAATATCCGCCATATTTACTGTATTTCCTTTTCATAACTGCCGGTCTTTTTGATTTCCTTGAGCTGAGGGTCTATTGGAAATAACCACTCTACCTTCACAAGATCGGGATAAGGTTTGCGTACACACTACCCTCCCCACACCCCACTTATGGGACTAAATTGGGACTGTTGTTGTTGTAATATCCGCCATATACCTACATTTACGTACTTTAAGGAGACTCAGGATTGCAACACAGTAACAAACTCACTTCACTAGTAACCCCTAGTATAATTCTCATGATCATGTCCGCTATTCTAAGCAATTTATTTATTCATATGGATTTCCAATGAAGGATAATATTGGAGCAGCGGTAAAGTTGTCTCCTTATGACCTATAGGTCACGAGTTCGAGTTGTGAGTAGGCTGCCTAAATCACATAGCCTCTTGGGTGCAACCTATCCTCGGACCACTGCGTGAATATGGGATGTTGTACACCGGGCTGCCCCTTTTTATGGATTTCTAAACCCTAAAGCCATAGCAATAGGCAATAGAAGAACTCTTTTTCATAGTCCAGAGTATACTGACCAAGGTCAAAACTTTAACAGCAATGGCAAAAGAAAAACGATAAAAAATGCATCTTTTAACCATTAAAACCTACAAATTAAAATCATTGGATTATCAGAAAAAAATCTCATCATACTACAACAACATAATATGTAGCCAATTTATAACAGTTTAAATCAATACAAAACCTAATTATAAATAGCAGTGACTCACAAGATCTGGGATTATGATAAATAATAAACAATCAGGAAAAATAGGGAAGAAAAAAGCAGTTTACCTCAACAGTCCAAATGAAGAAATCAAGAGGCTCTGGTGGCCTTTCTTTGCTCATAGAATCCAAATATACAAATTCCCCTACCCAAAAGAGGAAGCTGAAAATTTCACAGAAAAGCAAAACCAAGATTAGATCAAAAGATATTTCCCATTCAACCAATAATTAACTACCAAACAAACACATAATAATAACAATAATAATATACCTAATCACCCACCTGTTTTGTTCAGCTGTTCTATTTTAGGATTTCTTTTTGGATTTCTATGTTTGTTGCAGAGAGTGAGAGGAGCTTTTAATTGGGTTTCCTTTTTTTGCTTGATTTTACTCGAAGTGTAGCGTCAGCTGTGCTTTTCTGTAACCACGTGGGCCCGACAATAGGTCCCGTTGACCATTATTAGCATTTGCTAAATTATATGTTTGTGTTTATGCTTAATCCACGCGATTTCTCGCTGACTTGCACTGCACGCGCGCACTTGCCTTGGAAATTTTGGCAATGAGTAGACCTTTTTTCTTTTGGTTTAATCATTCATACTCACTAAGTAAATTGAAAAAACAAAGCACTCTCTATATACTATAAAGTGATATTTCATCCTCACAACTCGAACTCGGATATTTTATCCTTAGAGCTCGAACTCGAATATATCTAAAGGTTCTCCAATGTTTTGATGTTGCAACTCATTCTACATTACTCTCATTGTGTCAAATTTATAATAAGTATTGTAACTTGAATAAGTTCTCAATTAATAGTTAATGGGTGTGATGGGATGATTTGAATCCTTTCACCTTAATTGAAGGTTTTGAATTTAAACTCTAAAAGTTGATAAACTTATTAGTAAGGAGCATTTTATCACGATGCAACTCCGAATTATTATCATTTAGTTATGCGTAGCTAATTGTTAATTGTTAAATAGAAAAAAAAGGGAAGTTATTTGATACTCTTTTGCAGTTCTTGGAGTTTTGCTGCTTCGTTCCAGAGGCAAGAAATTACGATGGATGGACCTTCTTTTTATACCATTATTTATATTTTGACCATATTAAGAAAAGATTAGAAAAATAGCCCCATGCCAGATTCTTAAAGCAAACTCTTGACAATCGCCGAAATTTTGAAACACCAGATATTTGTCTACAATGCTAAAAATTTGTGGCAAGATCCTAACAATCGCCAGATAGCCAGAATTTATCAGCATTGTAGCAAAATCCTAACTAGTACTAACAGGTATGGCGGGATGTATGTGTTTGACTAAAAACAAATGTGCAGACCCACCGTCTCGGGTACTGCGCCTTCTATGCGTACCCTTTCTAAGTCAGCTATACTCTCTCTATTCTTCCGTTGGCGGAAGAATTCTATCGTTATTACGATGTTTGCTCTGCTCAGCTTGCGCCATACGTTTACAAGCTTATACGGATGTTTGACCAAATTTGTCGAGCTGGCCGGAGTCGAACTGATGCTTCGACATTTGATACATCTCTTCGCCCTGAGCTTTTATAAGGGGGACGATGTTAAATCTTCGACACCGAGGAGGCAAGTGCTTGGGGGTGAAGATGGACGACAAGGCCAACCGCCAATTCTGGTTCAACTTCTTCTTCGTCAAAACCGAAGACGTTGTGGCTAATGTCGATGGTTTTGCTAGAGGCTTGAAATTATACTCGTAAGTACTTGATCTCCCTGTATGTATTTGACTTTTCTCCTGTGCCCAGTCGTGGGTTTTGACTTCTCGTCCCTTTCTCGTGTAGCCAAGATTTTGCCTCCTCCTTCGCTCGCTGACATTTTCGATTGGGTTGGTTGACTTCTTCCTCATATTTTAGGGATTCGTGAGTAGTCGGGCTTCTTTAAGAAGTTTGGACCTGCCCCCCTTTCAACTGGTAAGTTTCTCTTATTATTGGCATCCCGGGTCTCTTTTCCTCTTATTCACCTTTGCTGACTTTCCTTATCCTTGTGTTTTTCTTAGCTTCGGCCAGGGGATCTTGAAGGAAGTCTAGAGCTCTCGCGCCCTTGTTCCGTAAGAGGAAAGCTGATGCGTCCTCGGCTCCCGCCCATTTTATGACTGCGGTTGATCCTGTTCGCGCCTCCATCCCTCATGTTGCTGCACTGGTATCTATTCCCTCTTTTTCCATAGAGACTTTGGCCGCAAAACTTCGGCTTCTCCTTCGTACCGTCTCATATATGACGAAGACGAACCATTGCCTGGGGATGGGGACTTGATGCCTCGTAAGATGATGATTGTTGGCGTCGTCGGAGAGGGGCCGATGGCTACTGATGTAGGAGATTTCAGCTTCGACCTTCGGGAGACGGCCACAGTGATTATCGAGGAGAGCCCGGAGGCTAATTCTGAGGTCGTTGGCTCGAAGAATACGAATGTGCGACCTATTGGGGATGCAGTCGAAGACGTGATGGGCCGTCACGGACCTGCTTTTCTAGGACGAGTTGAAGCCTCGTCTTCTGGTGTTGCGGAGGATGCGCCTCATTTGGCGGATGACAGAGGCGAGGCCGTATTCGAGGAGGATGTCGGATCCGATTCTGACATGGATGCAGAAGAGCTGAGGATGATTGGCGTGGGGCTTACTCAGCTCGAAGTGAGGTTGGAGGGCGGTTCGAGGACTATTACGATCCCGATGAACCGTAATCTTTTCGTGGATATCTAGAAGGTTATCCCTTCCCTTGTCCTTCTTAGTTCTGAGATTGAAGGAATGACCCTCAAGAGTATAAATGAACGTGACTTATCGAACAATATTGTCGGCCTCGCCCTTCGGATAAGCATCTTTTTTGTTGGTTGTTTTTCCTTGGTTATGCTCTTTTATAGTCTCTTAATTTTCGCTGCTTGTTTTGTAGACGATTGTCATGGAGATTGAGAGTGCTCGTAGGGAGCAGTGGCGCAAAGACATATATGTGAACTTGAAGGACAAGTACTTCAGGGTCATTTAGAAGTATCGGGAGTTGCGGTGTCAGCTCCGTGAAGGCGGTGATGTGCGCCAATTGAGGAAAGATTTGCAGGCCAGGGACGAGAAGCTGGTGCAGATGGTAGGGAAGTGTATCATCCTAGAGGGGACGCTAAGGAACAAAGAAGAAGAACTCGAGCTTAGCAAGGGGGTCGAGGTTCAATGCAGTGACCTCCAAGTTCAAGTAGTCGCGTTGTGCGACCAGCTCGAGGAATGCCAACTCAGGGTGGAAACCCTTAGTGGTAAGGTCGCCGAAAAGTTGGAGGACCCGGAGAAGGCAGAGTCGGCACGGTCAGAGGCTTTGAATAAGGTGGAGTCCCTTGATGTGGTGATCTGAACTCTCTGTTTTGAGCAGGAGAATGGTTTAACGACAGCTAGGCTCAAGGAAGAACGACTCGATGAAAGGATCGGGGAATTGGAAAGAGAGACCTGTGTTCTCCATGATCTAGTGGTTGTTTTAGAGGCCGAAAAGGCCCAACTACTGGCACAACCGTCCTTTAGGTGTCCAAGGCGGTGAAGGCGCAGAACACCGTGATGGTGGTGATCAATAGTTTTTCTTCTCTTTTATTGTAAAATTTTGTGTATTTTTGCCAACGTCTTCACGAGCCTTTGTAAAAATGTTTAAGTATGAAATGCCAGAGCTTTCTCTACATCTTTTTCCTTTCATGTGGTTTATTTTCTATACTTGTATGTTTTTTGCTTTTGTTGTTTGGATGTCTTTGCTCTTTCCTTCTTTGGTGTTGTCTTTTTGCTGGTAGTGGCCTTTCGTTAAATTGTGGCCGAGGGCCGGTGGGTGTTTGTTCGAGCGAGGTCGAACGCAACCTTTTAGCTATATTGCGGCCGAGGACCTATAGATGTTTGTTCGAGCGAGTTAGAAAGCAACCTTTTATTAGTATTGTTGTCGAGGGCCGATAGGTGTTTGTTCAAACAGATCGAACATAAGCTTTCATTAGTATTGTTGTCGAGGGCCGATAGGTGTTTGTTCGAACGGGTCAAACATAACCTTTCATTAGTATTGCGTCCGAGGACCGATAGATGTCTGTTCGAGCGGGGTCGAATGTAACCTTTTGCTAGTTTTGCGCCAGAAAACCGATAGGTGTTTGTTCGAGCGGGGTCGAACATAACCTTTTGTTAGAATTGCGGTCGAAGGCCGATAGGTATTTGTTCGAGCGGGGTCGAACATAACCTTTTGTTAGAACTACGGTTGAAGGCCGATAGGTGTTTGTTCGAGAGGGGTCAAATATAACCTTTTGTTAGAACTGCGGTCGAAGGTCGATAGGTGTTTGTTCGAGCGGGTCGAACATAACCTTTTGTTAGAACTGCGGCCGAAGGCCGATAGGTGTTTGTTCGAACGGGGTCGAACATAACCTTAACATGTAAAAGGCGTGCTGACAAGCATAAATTTCTTATTGCTTTGACATTGTTGCTTTGGTTACATACTTGGAGAAATTTACAGATATCCTTCTTATAGAGAAATTTACAGAGATTGGGTGTTGGCTGGCGTTCCAGTCCCAGTCCCAGTCTATCTAGTACCTTCATTGGTTGACCTGGAGAATATTGAGAGGTTGAGCAATAGAATAGCAATCACGACCCTGCCTTTGCATACTTCAACTTGAAGTGTTCCTTTCATCGCCTCGTTGAAAACCTCCTTGAGAAAACCCAACTGGGACAAAACTCAAGTGAGGGAAAAAAGAGTACGACTTGGAGGACGTTTTTTCTCTTAGAAGTTGAAGTATTTGAGGTGGTTGATATTCCAATTGTTTGGTAGTAGCTTTTCTTCCATTGTTTCTAGTTGGAATGAACCCTTATTTGCTTTTTCTGTGATTTTGTACGGACCGTCCCAATTTGTTCCCAGCTTGAGTTTTAGCTTTCAGTTGGAATGAACCCTTATTTTCTCGCTTGAGTTTTAGCTTTCAGTACGTAGTCCCCGACTTTGAGCGGCCTGGCCTTTGCTTTCTTGTTATAATAGTGTTCTGCTTGTTGTTTTTGGGCGATCATCCTTATATAGGCCATATCTCTTCGTCGAGTTCTTGCCTTCTGCTCTCGTCATTGCTCGCGCTGCTCTCATGGGAGTACCTTAGGCTTGGTTCTCCGACCTCGACTGGTATTACTGCCTCGGTTCCGTAGACCAAAGAGTAGGGCGTCTCTCCTATGCTCGTTTTTGGAGTTGTTTGGTAGGACCACAATACTTCTAGTAGTATTTCTGGCCACAGTCCCTTGGCGTCCTCAAGCTTCTTCTTCATGATGTTAAGTATCGATTTGTTGGAGGACTCTTCTTGCTCGTTGCCCACGGGGTGGTACGGGGTGGAGAGTATCCTTTTGATATGCCATTTATCGAAGAATTCAGCAATTTTCTCTTCTCGTGAACTGGGGTCCGTTGTCGCAG